TTTGTTTCTAGATGCAAACCTTAGATAATTACTTGAAGCAGGTCCATAAGGACCTTCAACAGATACACCAAGATTATCTATTAGGGAAGGTGTTGAAAGTAGCTGGTAGAGCTTCCTGGTCCAAGTTCCTTCACTTTTAATGACAATACTAAGCATTTCGTGCTCCAAGTTACTATTAGAAACAACTGTAAATGGATGCCACTGCAGCTTGGATATGCTTGGTATATTTAGGAACATCACACTTGTGGGATTATAAGTTAACCCTGCCAAAAACATATCACGTTAGCTCTTAAAAAATGTCACAATAAAATAAAAAATTGTAACTTATCAAGAAGTAACTAGAGGTAACTTATATTGAGCTAGGATAGCCATGTTAATTACCATGGCCCTTAGAGAAGTTGAGTTCTACAGTTTCACATGGCAAAACACGAGAAGAAACCAAACGAACTTGGCGACTTGATTGCAGAAACCTTAAGTAACGATCAACCAGGAAGAGGTAGAAACTAGGGAGCATAGCGCAAGCATCGGATATGCCAATATGAAAGATGAAGAAGACTATGAATAGGATGTAGAGGTGATGAGTGTAGAAGAAGAGCTCAAAGGCTTTTCGCCTAATGCGTGGAATGGTTGCAACCCACATGAACAAACCAATAAGCAAAGCTATCTCTCCTGCCACAATTGATATCCCAACTTTGGACCATTTCAGCATCTGCAATGCAACCCACGAGCTAATTACATTACTACAGACAAAAATTCATATAGAATGATGTTCTCTCTCTCTCTCTCTCTCTCTCTCTCTCTCTCTCTCTCTATATATATATATATATATATATATATATATATATATATATATAGGGGAAGGATATACCTACCATCATAAAAGTTTACCCCTCTTACGACTAGCCTACTCACCGTTGATTTTCGCCAATCTAACGATTATAATTTATTGGGAATTATTGGATCACTCTTATTAATTAATTATTAATCTTTAATAAATTATAACCGTTAGATTGACGAAAATCAACGATGATTAAGTTGGTTGTAAGAGGTAAACTTTTGTGGTAGTAAGTATATTTTGCTATATATATATATATATATCGTACAAATTATTCTTGTACTAATGTAAGAATAAGAAATTTTGAAGTTAATTTTGGTCATTGACCCATTGTGTACAAGGGCTCACATAACTAAAAAATTAGGCCGTTAAAGATAAATGATAACAATGTTTATGATTAAGAGTGTGACTTTTTAAAATAATTTTGAATATATATATATATATATATATATGAATGTATGTATTGTAAGTAGATCTTGTCTTAGTTAACCTGAGAAATTTGATTGGTAACAGCCCAATAGATGATGTAACCAAGGCCATGAAAAGTGTAGAGTGTCATGACCATGTTTCCAAGCCAAATATGGTACTTTATGCAACTCTCTGAGGTAAGGCCAAGCAGTGGCAGCACTGATGAGCCACGAGCTACAGGGAAAAAAAGGAATGCCAAGCATACGTTCCCCATCACACCCAACCCTAATGCTGCAGCTTCTAATTTCATTTGCCATCTGCCAAAAACCACCACCAATATAACCCAACATCATAATTCACAATTGCAACTTTGATGCTCAAGTTATTTATTGGACAGATCAAAATGGTTGAATTTAAGTGTTTGATAAACAAAACATTACACTTTCTCGCCAATGGCTGCTGCTGATTTCTGTGTGATTGTTGGAAATTGGTTGTGTAAAACAGTTGCAAAGGTCCAAACTAGGAGTGCATTGAACATAAGCAAAAATGCTAGCTCTGTGCTAGAAACAATGCCAAAAGGGCCTTTTACAAGCACCGGACGCTTCCACATGGTTACCTTACGTTTCTGGTCATTGCAGCTGATGGTGCAAAAAAGCATAGAATAGATAAGCCAATTATTGCAACTGGGATTTTTTAATTTTTAACATTTTTTTTTTTATCTTACAATGAAACATTTAGTAAAATTATATGGGATATGATATTATACTTATATTTTTTCATTCATGTTCAACTTATTCTCCTCAAATACCGTTAAATCACAATTTCAAGAGAAGAGAGAAATGATGAAGGTCAGTTGAGATTGTGATCTAACGATGGTGGATATAAATAAGTAGAGTATGCATGAAAAAATGGTAGGCATAATATCTTATCTCAAAATAAATATAACTAAATTAAGCAGAAAAAAAGGGGTACCTTTCCATGTTGAAACCATTTGTTTTTTTGGCAATGTGGAGGTAGACACATCCCAAAGCAGCTATGAACAAGGCTGGAAAAGTTAAAATCAGAAGTGTTGCACCTGCAATAAGATCATAGTTATATTAGGATAAAATAGAGGAATGCAAGCACAGAGTGAAATGCATTATTGAATCAAAAAGAGTACCTTGTGCACCAAAATAGGTAAAACTACTCTTTGCTTGGAGTTGAAGCATCCATCCTTGCCTATAAGTATTTGTGGGCATCATTATCCAAATGAAAATCCAACCAAGCAACAATAGCACCACAAGTAGCCTTATTGCAGATTGAACAATTCCATATTTTTCTTGAGAAGGTGACCTTTTCACCATTTCTTCAGGCATTTTTTTTGTAACACAAAGTAGCTAATTTGTTTTGCAGAAAAGAAAGACTCCAATGAGGAGAACCTGAGTAGAACATACGTATTTATAGTTTTTGAATGAGAACTGTAGTAATGGAAAAAATTTATACTCATAGAAATAACGCATGGAACATACTGCATTTGGAATGTAGAAAACATAACATATATTCTTGTATTTGGGACACCAGAAGGGGAAAAAAAACAAAATAGCATGGTTCATGTCCCTCTTCAGGTCAACCAAGCATTTCAGCGTTGTGATTAATGCCAATTGAAAGAATGGAGGTTGCATGGTATTTCCTGTTTAATTAAGTACCTTTAAAATAGTGAGCATACACGATGTATGTAATTAATAATTTATATATTTAATAAGGAGTGGATTAATTTATATTAATGTAAAAATAATAAGTCTTATACTACATGTTAAGATGTTTATCAGCTCCAGGAATCTACCTCCACATTACCCTCACCTTTATATTCTCTATTTGTCTATTAATGAATACCGTGGCAGAATTTATGAAAGTGGTGACTGCAGTGAAATTCAATTTGTATGGAGAAGCTATTGCTGTCATTCATTGCAAAAACTGAGGAGTGGGTGCCAAGATGTTGAACATATTTATGGAAATCATTTATAGGCTTTGTCATCTATGAAGCACCGATACTTCAAAAATTTTGACGTGTCGTATCCGACACTTTCCGACACTCCCCGACACTTCAACACGCATTGTAGAAACTTAAAAAAAAGTTCAAATGTTGTGTTGCGTTGCATTTTTAGTTCCAATTATTAAATTCGTTGGATTACGATTACCATTTTATTGAGTTTAATATAAATATTTAAAATATACTCATTTTTTTGTTAAATTATTGAGTATTAAATATAATATACATTACATAAATTAAAAATAATATTTAATATCAAAATGTGTCCTAATGTGTCAAAATTTAATATTTTTTAAAATTAACGTGTCAGAGTGTCATATCGTGTCTCGTGTCCCGTGTCATAACACCTTTAGGCTGCTTTTGGTGCATTTTGAGGGACAATAGAGAACAAGTGGTTGAATCACATGACAATTTTTTGTGTTATTTGCTGTTTGGCGATTAATGCACAGGGCTAAAAAATTTGTGATATTCATGAATAAAATAATGTAAAACTTATTTGAACACCCTTTGTGTTGTTTATTGTTTAGCATGTAATAGAGTTTTGATAATGAAAGGGTTGAGATTATTGGTCTTTTCTCATTCTGCATGTTCGTACATAATTTTTTTATGTCTTTGTTGACATGATTCAAACTTTCGATAATCAAGATATTAAAGTAAACTGCTTTATTTATGTTCACATTCATATAATATATTGTTAGGCTGGATAAGAATAAAACAGAATAGAATTTGGAGGGTATATTCGAGAAGGAATAAATTGTAGTTATTTATTAGTTAGAAGAGGGTATTTTGGCATTTAGGTAGATAAGGGGGTGCAAAAAACACTGTAGAGACCGGTGTTTTAAAACTCGGACCGGTCATCGAACCGGTCGAGGTACTGGGTCACTGGTTGAACCGGTTTTACTGTTCATATATTAAAAATATAAAAATATTACTTATATTAATAAAAATTCACATAAGAAAATTATCTATGAGCTTCAAAAAATAAATTAGTTTTCAATGATAGCAAATATTATATACTTCTAAGTTTCTAGCTCTAGACCGTTGAGATGAGATCATGAGACCATCAGTGTTTATCACCACTTAACTTCATGAGATCATTATAAGATGCAACTAAATTACATAAACGAACTACACTAATCTAAAATACCTTATTATTTTCACCTTACTTTTAATCATATTCATCATAAAATATGAATATGATTTAATTCAAGAGTTCTTATCAACAAAAAAAAATTTTACCAAAAAAAAAAAAAAACCGATTTAACCCGAGTCAACCGAGTCGCCGGGTTTCGGCCGGGTCAACCGGTCCAATTCGGGCTGACTGCATAACCGGTCTAACTACCCGCTCGGACCGGGGAACCCACCGGGTCACCGAGTCCCGGGTCAACCCGGCTGGTCCGAGCCGTGTTTTAAAACACTGGTAGAGACTATCTTTTGAGAATTGATAAAACTGAGACATTCTCAGGCAAGAAAAGGGTTACTCCCTTGTAAAGAGGATCATTCCTATTGTAAATTTATTCTTCCTTGAATACAATACACCATTTATTCTCTCAATCTTCTAATCTGTTCTTAATACACTCATTCTTTGACAATCTTTTACTTACACAACCTGAGGGCCTAACATGTATGCTAGCAATTAAGGCCCAATTATTTTTGACAAACCAATGTACATTTATTCAATAAAACTAGGTAGTCCATCAAGGCTGGCTGAAAATACTAGCTCATACTATAGAGGTTGTTCATTAATGTTTTGAACCCTTTACAACAGTATGAGTAAAATCACCAGATAAAGCTAATGGACTCAAAATGCAGATTTTCAGCTAAAACAGATGAGCAAATGGCTGCAACCTCCTGCCTCATTTTCTTGGGTCCTGCAACAAGAACTCCCACACTCGGTCCTTTGAATTCCAATAGCAGTCCTGTAAAAAGAAAATAAAAAAATAAGTGATCTCAATTCATTGATGGGTTTCTAGACCATAGTTAAAGAAAATGGAGGTGATTTACTTCTTAGGTCAGGTCTTGCACCAAAATGAACGTTGGTAGCTTGAACAAGGGTCTGGTATGGAAGGCTTTCCAATTCTCTATCTGCATTGCAAATCATTGATGGTGACACTGTTGGTGATGACCCTTCCAAGTTCTGAATCTGGTTTGCATCTTTAGCATTTTGTCTTTTGTTCCATAGAACTGCTGCACTAGCAACAATGACTATGGACACACATATTACTAGCATGTCAAGGAACGACCTCAAAGGAAATGAGAATATTTGATTCGAGTTATGGTCGATGGGGAAAATGTAGTAACGGTTAATAATACCAATTATTATAAGGAAAATGATGAAAGAGGATGATATTATAGCACCAAGCCAAAGCCAACTGTTTGGACCTAATACAGCATATATGGGTGCATCAGTTGGATTTGGCTTGAACCGTATAGTTTGAAGGTTAATTGGGTTGTCTCTCTTAAGCTCCTTATCTCTTGTGATGTAGGCCTCAATTTGTAGTTGCAGACTAGAAATGTCAAAAGGGGAGCCAGAAATTGGGAGTATCAAATCTAGCATTGACAGACATGAAGAGTTCTTGAATACACAAATCAGGACAACTTTTGGGGTTGTGCATTTGAATGTAGTGCTCAGATATATTAGTTCTCGAATGATGGATATAAAAGGTGTTATGCCACTTCCTCCACTCACCATCACTAGAGTGTCATGCCTGTTTTTAAAATAAGAAAAAGTCAGTATGTGGAAATCAAAGAACTTATGTCTAATGAAGCAAAAGGTAATTAATAACTCCAAATCAAATTTAAAGTTTTGTTTTGCTTCTAAGATGCAGACCTTAGATAATTACTTGAAACAGGTCCATAAGGACCTTCAACGGATACACCAAGATTATCTATTAGGGAAGGAGTTGAAATTAGCTGGTAGAGCTTCTTGGTCCATGTTCCTTCACTTTTAATGACAATACTAAGCATTTCTTGCTCCAAGTTACTATTAGAAACAACTGTAAATGGATGCCACTGCAGCTTGGATATGCTTGGTATATTTATTAACATCACACTTGTGGGATTATAAGTTAACCCTGCCAAAAACATATCACTTTAGCTCTTAAAAAAGTCACAAAATAAAATGAAATAAAATTGGTCACTTATCAAGAAGTAACTAGAGGTAACTTCAAGATATTGAGTTAGGATAGTCATGTTAATTACCATGGCCCTTAGAGAAGTTCAGCTCTACAGTTTCGCATGGCAAAACACGAGCAGAAACCAAACGAACTTGGCTCCTTGATTGCAGAAACCTTAAGTAACGATCAACCAAGAAGAGGTAGAAACTAGGGAGCATAGTGCAGGCATAGGATATGCCAACGTGAAAGATGAAGAAGACTATGAAGAGGATGTAGAGGTGATGAGTGTAGAAGAAGAGCTCAAAGGCTTTTCGCCTAATGCGTGGAATGGTTGCAACCCACATGAACAAACCAAACAGCAAAGTTATCTCTCCAGCCACATGTGATACTCCAACTTTGGACCATGTCAGCATCTGCAATGAAAAAAAGCCATAGCCCCTTGAGCTAAATAAATTACTACAGACAAAAAAATAATATAAAATGAGTGTTTAAGATTTTTTATTATTACACCAGTGTAATAATATATATATATATATATATATATATATATATATATAGGCTTTAATAGCTATCATGTGGTTGCAGATCAGAAAATTTGCTGCAACACTTACTTCCACCAGGATCCAGTTCCGAATCTTGAAATTTTTTGTTTTTTTTTTAATTTTAGGATCCGACTCCGTATCTTATGTAAATATATTTACTGCAAGCTTTTCCATCAGCAGTGAAAGCAGAAATTAGGAATCCATATATATATATATATATATATATTAAGATAACTATATTTGTATGAATTGTGAGTAAGTAGATCTTAGTCTTATTTAACCTGAGAAATTTGATTGGTAACTGCCCAATAGATGATGTAACCAAGGCCATGAAAAGTGTATAGTGTCATGACCATGTTTCCAAGCCAAATATGGTACTTTATGCAACTCTCTGAGGTAAGGCCAAGCAGTGGCAGCACTGATGAGCCACGAGCTACCGGGAAAAAAAGGAATGCCAAGCATATGTTCCCTGTCACAGCCAACCCTAGTGCTGCAGCATCTAGTTTCACTTGCCATCTGCCAAAAACCACCAACATAACACATATCATAATTCATAATAAAATAGGAACAAACTTTGATGCCAAAGTTATTTATTGGACCAATCAAAATGGTTGAATTTAAGTGTTCGATAAAATAAAAAAATTACACTTTCTCGCCGATGGCTGCTGCTGATTTCTGTGTGATTGTTGCAAAGTGGTTGTGTAAAAAAGTTGCAAAGGTCCAAACTAGGAGTGCAATGAACATAAGCAAGAATGCAAGCTCTGTGCTAGAAACAATGCCAAGAGGGCCTTTTACAAGCATCGGTCGCTTCCATATGGTTACCACACGTTTCTGGTCATTGCAGCTGATGGTGCAAAAAAGCATAAAATACATAACATATTATCAGTACTGGGATATTTTTTATTTTTTATTTTTTTCTTACAATGAAACATTTAGTAACAATACATGGGATAAGATATTATGCCTATATTTTTTCATGTCTGTTTTATCTATTCTTCTCTAATACTATTAGATCACAATCTAAAGAGGAGAGACAAAAGGTGAAAGTCAGTTGAGATTGTGATTTAACAATAGTGGGGATGTGTAGATAGAGTAAGCTTGAAAAAAAGATAGGCATAATTTCATATCCCAAAATACATATAAGCAGAACTATATTTACAAACTTTTTGTTTACAAATTCTTACAAACTACACTATATAATACGGGTACTACATACTACTTGAGTATGTACTACCCATAATATATAGTGTAGTTTGTAAGATTTTGTAAACAAAAAGTTTATAAATATAACCTACCCCTAACTAAATTAAGAAACAAAATGGTACCTTTCCATGTTGTAACCATTTGTTTTTTTGGCTATGTGGAGGTAGACACATCCCAAAGCAGCTATGAACAAGATTGGAAAAGTTGAAATCAGAAGTGTTGTACCTGCAACAATTAAGATCATAGGTATATTACGATAAAATAGAGGAAGCAAGCACAGAGTGAAATGCATAATTGAATCAAAAAGAGACCTTGTGCACCAAAATAGGTAGAACTACTCTTTGCTTGGAGTTGAAGCAACCATCCATGCCTGTATGTATTTGTGGGCATCATTATCCAAATGAAAATCCAACCCAGCAACAATAGCATCACAAGTAGCCTTATTGCAGATTGAACACTTCCATATTTTTCTTGAGAAGGTGACCTTTTCACCATTTCTTCAGGCATTTTTTTTGTAACACAAAGTAGCTAATTTGTTTTGCAGAAAAGAAAGACTCCAATGAGGAGAACCTGAGTAGAACATACGTATTTATAGTTCAAGAATGAGAACTGTAGTAATGGAAAAATTTTATATTCATAGAAATAACGCATGGAACATACTGCATTTAGAATATAGATAACATAACATATATGGGTTCGCTTTTTCTACGGTCAACATAGATAACTTATCCGCATTAAGCTCAAAACGACGTTGTTTTGAGACGGAAATTAAAATATTTTTGTAATTATATTTTATTTTAGGATTATAATAGTCTTTTTCATTATAATCTTTTAATTCAAAACAATGTCATTTTGAGAAAACTTATCTACGTTCACTTTAATAGAAATATTAAAGCCAACATATATATACTTGTATTTGGGATACCAGAAGGGAAAACACAAAATAGCATGGGTCATGTCCCTCTTTTACAGTGTTTGGAATGTAGAAATTAATATTTTATTTGCGTCAGATTACATGGCTCAAGTTATGTACGTCACAAAGAGTTGACATGAATTCAAGGTCAACCATTTCAGTGTTGTGATTAATGCCAATTGAAAGAATCAAGGTTATATTTACTGTTTAATTAAGTACCTTTAAAATAGTGAGCTGAGCAAGCAAAGGTACTATGTATGTATTTAAGGAGAGCATGAATTTATAGTAGTATAAGAATAATAAATTTTACATTGTTGATATCTATGTATTTGATTGTTATAATTTTTTGGGAGTCAATAATTAATTAATGAGTGTAACTTAATAAATTACCATCCTCAATGCTAAGATCTCGTTTAAGATTTATTATTTTTACATCAATAAATTAATCTTGTCACACTTATAATAAGTAGTGTATGTTTAATTTTGATAATACATTCTATCATACGTGCATTTAGAAAAAAATATTTTTTATTTCTATCAAATTGTATTACTGAATTGACGATTTATTTCTAAAATAGAAAAATAAATTAATTTGATCAAATCCTATTTTTAAATATTCTTATTGTCAAGATTAAAATATATATACATATATATTTATATATTTAAAAGTGTTGTCATACAACCGTAAATTTTGGAAAACTGGAATCATTTGAAGTGTAAATATATAAACCATGCATGCTTGTGCCTCCTTGAAACTTTACTTGAGCTAGCGCGTGGTTTAAGTGTGTGAGAGTGTGCTAAAGTTTGGTATTTGAGCGTGTGCTAAAAAATGGAGGATAATTTTATTAACAGTTTTATTTATTTAATTATTTAATATTTTCTTTTGTCCAATGTAAATATTGTTAATTATAATAAATATTATATTTTTTAATCAATATTGAAATCTTTAGTGTACTGCCCAATTTTTTTCTTTTCTGCGATTTGTTTCAATTATCATAGTGTCAAGCTAGCTCAAAGGGTGAGAGTGTCCAAGGCCTTATAAAGGCTATATTAGTTGCCCATCCAATCAATGTGGGACTATATATCTCAACACGCCCCCTCACGCAAGAGCCCTTTAGGCTAGAAGCGTGGAAATTGCACAGGCCTATTTTTGGTTTACCTTTTGTGCTTTTTTTATTTTATTTTTAATTCCACTTTAAAGCGGGGGACGGTGAGGCTCTGATACCATGTAAAGAACCTTGGGATACACCACCACAAAAGCTAGCTCAAGGGGTGGGAGTGCTCAAGGTCTTATAAAGGCCATATTAGTTGCCCATCCAATCAATGTGGGACTATATATCTCAACACGCCCCCTCACGCAAGAGCCCTTTAGGCTAGAAGCGTGGAAATTGCACAGGCCCATTTTTGAAGTCAGAGTTTACACACACACATATATATATATATATGGAGTTTGATTTTTTCATATTGTATGAGAATTGAATTCTCATGTTGTGACTCAACTACTGGTAGGTTCCACATTTATTAGAAAAAGAAAGAGAAAAGAAAAGTTTTGCATGCAAATCAAAAGGTCACAACATAAGAATTGAATTCTCGTGCAACATGAGAAAATATTTTTCCTATATATATATAATGGAAAAAAATATTTCTCAAGTGTGAGATAACTTTATCTCCGGTAACCTTAAAACTATGTCATCTTGGGTGTTAGGAGAATTAATGAAAAGTGTTTTGATACTTTGGTTTGATTATTTATTATATGAATTTTATCAAAATATCATTCATTAATTTTCCTAACACCCAAAACAATATAGTTTTGGGATGGCCAAAAATAAGGTTATCTTAGGTGACTTGAGAAATGATAAACCACACACACACACACATATATATATGGGATATGTTATTTTTAGGGTTGTTCAAAATGTCCAAAAGAACCAAACCGATCCATAACCAAACTGCTCCACATTTTAAAAACTGGTTATTTTAAAAACCAGTTTCATATGAAACTGTAATTTATTTTATAAACTGGTTATTTACCAAACCATAAAAATAATTGGTTATCCATAACCAAACTACTTTACAATTAAAGAACAAATAAGTATTATCTTTTATCATGCCTATTATATTAGTCAATTGACTCAAACTTCCAAACAATAAACTAGCAAAAAAAGTTAAGCAGCTCAAGTAGAAAACATTTATTTTAAAAAAAGTTACACATAAATCGAAAGGTCGCATCCTAATAAAAGCACTTCTTATGTAGCGTAACAACTTTTTTCCCAAAAAAAATAAATAACCACATACAGGCCTCCTGGCAAACTCATAACTTGACAAGGCGAAGGCTTTGAAATGACAAAGATGAAGTTAAAAAATTATAACGAAAAGGGCAACGAAATTAATCAATTGCTTAACGTCTCTGAGAGCGTTGTTAAAAGAACAACTCACAATGGAATTAATTATTTGTTCTATAATTATAAAGGAGTTTGGTTATGGATAACCAATTATTTTTATGGTTTGGTAAATAACCAGTTTATAAAAATAAAATACAGTTTCATATGAAACCGATTTTTAAAAATAACCGATTTTTAAAATGTGGAGCAGTTTGGTTATGGAATGGTTTAGTTCTTTTAGACATTTTGAACACCCCTACTCATACCTTCCTCCATTAGTTCAAATGAAACTCTTAGTAACATAAATCTTGAGAGAACGAAGAGCAATTTTTTTTTTATAATTTAAAATAATTCAACTATTCTTCTATCAATCACTCTCAAAACAACGTGAAACAATTTCTATAAGAATCATTTCGTCCTGAGAGTTCCAAAACAATGAAGATTCTTGCAAGAAATAGTTGGTCAACTACCTATAACCGGAAGAAACAAACGACCACTTATAAAAAATGGCACAATCCATCAAAAATCGATTTTGAATTTGTCCAAAAATCGATTTTGAACTTGATAACCGGTTTATGGTTCATAACCGATTTTGATTTAAAACCGGTTTTAATTTCAGTTTTGAATTAAAACCGGTTTTAAATCAAAACCGGTTTAAAATCGATTTAGAAAATTAAAAACTGGTTTTAAAAGAAGAAAATCGGTTCGGTTTGAAAACCAAACCGTTTAAAACCGGTTCGGTTCGATTTTTGTTAAAACCGGTTATGAACCGCTCCATGCACACGCCTAGATATTTTGGCAAAAAAATTAATTTATTGCTTTTTTAATAAATAATCACGCAAATGTAGTCATTTTGAAACTATTTACGCAGGTATAGCAGTCAAACACGCCCCACATGGGCGTGACCAGTTGGAGAGAGACACTCCTCATTTGGGCGTGACCGAGGAGAGAGACACTCCCCATTGGGGCGTGTTTCACCAGGTGCTGCCACGTGGCACAAAAGTCAACAGTTTTACCGTAAAACTTTGAAAGTCTATAACTTTTGATTGGGGTGTCCGAATTAGGTAAAAAAAATGTATTCCACATAACTTTTCGAGATCTACGTAATGAAACCTCATTTGGCATATTTTGTCTGTCACAAAAAAAATTCGAATTTACGACAATGATACCATAAGAACGTTTAAAAAATAGGAGAAGGTTATAGTTACTACCTCTTTATCAATTTGGGTTTTAACCTTCTCCTAAATAAAAAGTGGTTTTCTCTTTATTAATTTGGGTTTAAACGTTCTTATACTATTATTGTTATAAATTCAATTTTTTTGCGAGAGACAAAATATGTCAAATGATGTGTCATTACGTAGATCTCGAAAAGTTATGTGGAATCAAAAAATTTTTACCTAATTCGAACACCCGAGTCAAAAGTTATAGACTTCCAAAGTTTTACGGTCAAACTGTCGACTCTCGTGACACGTGGCAGCACCTGGTGAAACACGGCCCACAAGGGAGTGTCTGTCTCCTCAGCCACGCCCAAATGGAGAGTGTCTTTCTCCAAACCACTCACGCCCCTGTTGGGCATGTCTCTCTCCTGATCACGCCCCATATGGGCGTGTCTCTCGTATGACTCATGCCCCACATAGGCGTGTCTCTTTTCATTGGATCACGCCCCATAGGGGCGTGTTTGACTGCTATACTTGCGTAAATAGTTTCAAAACGGCTACATTTGCGTAATTATTTATTAAAAAAGCAATAAATTAATTTTTTTGCCATGATATTTTATCTACTTTTTTCATGTCTATTTATTCTTACGTACCCATCCCCAACACAATTGGATCATAATCTTTTTATCTTGATTTTGAATTAAACTTAACTAATCATCATGTTATAATTTACCTTTTTATCTTAACTAATCAATAAAATTTACCACTTAATTTTGAATTAATTTATCTTTTAGGGTAAAATATAATTTACCGCATAATTTTGAACATTTTTTAAATCATCATCTTATACTTTTAATTAATTTCCATATATTTTGTGATGATAATAAATCTGTAAATTTTTTGACTAGGGGGTAAAATATGAATTTGGAAAAGAGAAAAAAAATCAAAAATTTAGGTACTAATACCATTAGTTAAAATTCTAATACACATGTTAATTTATTATTATGACATAGTATAAGAGAATTAATTATAACAATTGAAAGCAATGTTATGAAAACCGGACCGACCCGACCGGGTCGACCTGAAAATCGGTGAACCGATCATGTAACCGGTCCGATTTTTATATTGGACCGGCCATGTTACAGAACCGGTGTGACCCGGTGCGACCCGCTCGATTTTCGTAAAAACCGGTGACCCAGCCCGGTCTATAAAAAAAAAACTAATTTATTTTCATAAATTAATGTCTTCTTTTTTTTTACTCTTAAACACAAATGATTTGTTTTCTTTTGAAATATTTGAGTGATTTGTAGCTTATTAACTTACATAGATTATGTACCTATAACACTAATATTATCTTGATTATGCAATATGCAAGGAATTTTGATTTGATTTATAGTTAGAGATGTCTTTTACTGAACCTGAAACACTAATATCACAAATATTATATGTTTGATTGATCTTTTGTTGTACAATGATGTGTAATTTATTATTTTCATATTAAAATATTTGAAATTAGTACATTTTTTTACAAGTATTTATGTATATTTATAATTTTTTAATATAAATTGTAGATTTACATATACTTACTGGGTCATACGGTTGAACCAGTGACCCAGTACCTCGACCGGGTTAATAACCAGGCCAGATTTAATAACATTGATTGAAAGTATAAAGTAATAATTTAAAACATGACGAAGGTTCAAGAAATAAATTATATTTTAACTTATATTTTATAATTAATTCCTTTCTAAATATCAAAACGTGTTAATAGCATCGCTTAAAATTATCTTCATTTTGTTTATATTTTAATATTTTATTTTTTGAATAAAAATGAATAATAAAGAAATTAATACCTAAAAGGACATAAAATTTTATTGTTTTAATCAAAATTAAAGTATTTTATTTTGAGAGAAAGAGTTACTCAATAAAAATTATGATGGAAGAAAATAGAAGATTTTTTTAATTTAAATATTAAATAAAAATGGTTATTTTATATAAAATGATAGTTCTTTTAAAAAACAAATATTTTTTCTATGTACATTAAAAAAAAGGTTCATCTAATCTCATGTTGCATAAGAGAATATCTCTCATGTTATAGACACACATGTGGTTGGCGCTATTTTAAAATTAAAAAAAAAATATCACAATTTTTTATGGCTCTATTAAAGATAAAATTACTCTTATATTGCGTAATAGTAATTTTTTCCTAAAAAAAAAATAGAAGGCGAGTTACTTCATAATTGAGACACGTGAAGGATATATGGCCTGCTATGCTGTCCTGTCATGCAAATTTGCCTTTCAATTCCATCAGGAATTAGGAGAAAAGTTACTATGGTGCAAGTGCAGGTGCACCTTTTCTAAAAGTAGAAAAAAATCAAAATATAGAAGTAAATAAACAAAATGATATAGATAAAAATGTGGAAAATGAAACACCAAATAAAGATGCACCTTGTCCACTTTAAAAATTCTCAGGAATTAGTCGGCTTTTTCATCCTTTTGCCCCTTATTAATTAATTAATAATCATTTTGCCCCTGATTCGAAACTATCTATCAATCTGCCCCTCTTTAATCGACTACCTTGCATTTTTAATCGACTAAATGACCAAAACAGACAAAAAATGGCTGCTGGGAGATTTAGTCGACTAAATCTCCCTATTTAGTCGACTAAATCTTCATATTTTACAAAAAAAAAAAAAGTCAGTATGATTTTAATCGATTAAGTAGAGAGATTTAGTCGATTAAATCTCCCAACAACCGTTTAGTCGATTAAAAATGCAAGGTAATCGATTAAAGAGGGGCAAATTGGTAGATAGTTTCGAATCAGGGGCAAAATGATTATTAATTAATTAATAAGGGGCAAAAGGGTGAAAAAGCCGGAATTGGTCTCTCCAAGCTTTTAAATGAGTTATTTAATTTAAACCTATCCGTTTATTTATTTATTTATATGTATATTTTTTTAATTCATTCTTCTTTAGCATAATTATGACATCCATTGATTAATGATTTTATATATATATTTTTTGGAATTGGTATTTAATTTAAATTTTTATATTGGGGTTTTTTTGACCTTTTTATCCTTTATTAATTTAAAAATAACTATTTTGTCCCTATCTCGAAACTATATATCATTTTATCCTTGTTTAATCGATTAAGTGACCTTTTTAATCGATTAAGTGTAAAATAATACATGTAATCGATTATTATATTAGTTTAATCGATTAAATGTCGATATGAAGCTTCTATTATATTTTTGCAGTTCAGATATCTTATCAATTTGGAGCACCATGACAGAATCTTCATCAACCATGGTCGATTACTTCGCTCATTATTTCGATTCTTCTTCAATGTAGAGGTTGGTTCATCATTAGCAGAGAACATCTCACATGAAGAACACACTATCTCATCTTGCATCTGTCATAAAAATAGAAAGAAAGTGGACATACAGTTAAATCTTTATCTCTGAATAATTATTAGAAAAATAAATGAACCAAAAAAAAATATAGAAAAAAAAATCCATATAGAATTAAAAAAAGAAAGAAAAGAAAACACGTACACAGGGGCTCTGTTGATCATGTTGTTGTTGGTTTTCAGCACCCAATTTTGATAAGAACTCGCTTTTGAAATTTTATGAATGAAGAGAAGATAAGTGGGTCTCTGATGATATATGCATATCGTGCGTGAACATTAAGGAGAAGGATGTTAAGGGCGTGTGACACGTGGACGAAAGATTTTTATTAAAATGACACGTTAGCCTGAGATGCTCTTTGGTGGAGACATCTATCTTGTAAACTATGTAATGTAATCTGTTAATTTTTATCTCTCTCTTTATCTTTGATGTGCAAAAGCTTGATGTGGAAGAGAAGCTGAAGTAAATCCATGACAGAATCAGAGGGTTGGTGTCGCCGTCTCTGTGAACATGGGTGCTGGCACGCTGAGGGTGGAGTGTGTGGCCGGAGAGATAATTATGGAGCAAAAAGAAGACGAGGGAGAGAAGCAGGTTGTGTGCCAATATCCTCCGCCTCTTTTTTTGTTGATTCAAATATAAGTGTTTTCTTTTTTTAATTATATATGGATTTATTTTTCTATATTTTTTTTTGTTCATTTATTTTTCTAATAATTATTCAGAGATAAAGATTTAACTGTATGTCCACTTTCTTTCTATTTTTTATGACAGATGCAGGATGAAATAGTGTGTTCTTCATGTGAGATGTTCTCTGCTAATGATGAACCAACCTCTACATTGAAGAAGAATCGAAATAATGAGCGAAGTAATCGACCATGGTTGATGAAGATTCTGTCATGGTGCTCCAAGTTGATAAGATATCTGAACTGCAAAAATATAATAGAAGCTTCATATCGACATTTAATCGATTAAACTAATATAATAATCGATTACATGTATTATTTTACACTTAATCGATTAAAAAGGTCACTTAATCGATTAAACAAGGACAAAATGATATGTAGTTTCGAGACAGGGATAAAATGGTTATTTTTAAATTAATAAAGGATAAAAAGGTCAAAAAGCCTTTATATTGGACTATTATACTTACCATTATTTTAGACTTATTATCTGATTAATTATCGTTTGATCAATTCAAAATCATCAATTATAGCTAATTTTAAATTGATCCAATAATAATTAATTAAAATCGTAAGCTTCAAATAGTAATAACTATAACCCTGTACTTTATATATAACTAATAAAAGTTTATTTAATTGATAAATATATCTTATCCTTTTAAATAAAATTAAATTAATTAGTTTTATTTTTAAATTTTAAATTATTTTAATATCTCTTTATTACGTGAATAAAAATATGATTTTGTAACTTTTAAATATTAATTAATACTTCTTCATTTATATTGATGATAATGTATATAATATTAATGGTGGTAAGTGAAATCAATTTCTTAAAATTATCCTGTGTAATGTACGAGTAATATTTTACTGTTTATAATTTGGGGATAGTTATACTTACCATCAGGTAAGTTTACCACTTTTACAACCGATCTCATAACCGTTAGATTAGAATTAATCTAACCGCTCATAATTATTCCTTATAATTCTAATTTTTTCTCTCATATTCCCCTTTTCTCCCTAGGTTTTCATCCTCTCTTTCTCTCTCTGGGTTTGAAAATCACCTCTTTCATCTCTCTTTCTATCATCGCTTTATCCGTTGGTGGTATGTTGCAACCCAAAGAAGAGAACAAAGGGTTCTCTCATATTCTGGTATTTTGGGTGCGTATCAAAGGGACTAGAGAACGAGAGTGAAAGTGGCAGAGAAATCGATATCGGAACATGTATCATGAAATTGTTGCCAGTGCGTCCTAGTCTGATACTTTTTCTTCTAGAATTTTGGATTCAACATCAAATTGAATCTCATTAACCTCGTTCTGCTCATTAGGACAATTGTCATCGATGCATTTTGGCTCAGTTTAGGGCCTTCTCTTCAAGATTAATTGAAAAAAAATCAACGAATAATGAATCAAAGCGTACAGCAATGGAATCCGTTTATCAATTAGGGTACAAATTAAAATATATTCCCTTGGAAGAATTTGGGGAGAGAGATGTCCATATCCCAAATCTAGAGAGAGAAAGAGGAAATGCGAGAGTAAAAATTAGGATTATAAAAGATAATTATAAAACGTTAGATTTAATTTAAATCTAACGGTAATAAAATTGGTTGTAAGGGTGGTAAACTTATCTGGTGGTAAGTATAACCGTCCCCTTATAATTTTTTAAGTACATTTTATTTTTAAGTGAAATTTCCTCAAAACCCTATGTATCCACAACAAAGCTATCAGAAAGGGCCACGAACTGGAATAACCACATTGATAAGATATGGATGTGAATCAAGCAACTGCTGAGCATCACCACTAGCATTCATGTCATCTGAACCAGAACCAGCAGCAACCATCACTGCTTCATGGAGGCAAAACGAAGAGTACTCCGGAAGAAAAGCTATAGAATCTAGGATACAACAAAATCACCGCTAGGCATTAGAATGACAATTTTATGTCATTGAAAATCACAGATCCCTTGTACCAAAATAAAATAAATAAATAAAAAAACCACAGATCGCATTTATTGAGATGTTGTAGTCAAGGTACACTTGCTCTCTTTTTTCTCTCGGTTTCCGTTTCTGTTTGGTTCCTTAGAAAACTCACGAAAATCGATTCAATTATTTTAGGGTTTATCAACTGATTCAATTATTCTCAGTTTCTTTTTACTTTTTAATTTTAATTTAATTAAGTACGTTGAGGGTGATGTGATTGAATTGTGATTAGTGTTCTGGAATTTGCAGATCGAGGCGTTACTTGTTTGAAATCTTCTTTCAAATGGTGAGTTGTTAATTTGCTTAACAATGGTGGCTATTAGCTTTTCCTCTTTAAGACGCCTACAAAGTTCAATCAATCTTTCCTTGAACATGGAATTAGCTAACCACAGTTTGGCTATGATCCTTACAAGAAATTCTCATAATCCGTTTAGTAATTTGGCTTCTAGTAGTCACCTCTTTGCTGCCAAAACCAATGCCTCATTGTATCCTTGATTCTCTAGCTTTTGCTTTGCTTCTGGAGTACTGTTCCTTTTGCCTCCATGACCAACGTGTTGAATAGCCGAACATATTCATCATCTGTGGGTGGCAAATGAAACAGTGATGGTGGTACAAAATTTGCTGCTGGTTCTGGTTCAGTTGACATGAATGCTAGTGGTGATTTTGTTGTTACGGGTGATTGGGCTGAGAAGATTAGCATACTTGGAAGAGTGCGGTAGAGACAGCATCATAGGCTGGGCAAAAGGTTAAAGAAGTTTCTGATGATCTGACTCCATATGTTAGGGAGAGATTGCTGGCTCTAGACAAAATCTCATCTATTGGCCTATTTGTGATTGGTATAATGGCTTTGACCGAGGCTTGTGGTGTGGCTGTGCAATCTATTATAACTGTTGGTGGAATAGGAGGTAATTGTTAAATTTAATTGAATCTGGTGAGTTTAATTTTACATCCTTAAAATTTTTAGTATTTCTCCTTTTCCAACGTCATGGGTTTTCTATAATGTTGATGGAGGCAGGAAAACTCGTATTGAGAAGTGTAGGTTTCTGGAAAGAAAAGTTCCATCTAGGTATATCATTATATCAATCTGGTTGAAAGTTGATGCCTTCACCACTGTAGAAATTGATAGCTTGGCACATTGCTTATGTTAAAGAGGAAATATTGTATAACTTGGAAGTGCAAAAGCCTTAATCTCTAAAAAGATGGGTAGTTCTGGAGCTGTAAAAGCAATGTAAAACATTAATAGTATGAAAAAGAAAGGAATAGAATACACACACTGTAATTTCTTGTGTTCCATTTAGTGAAAACATCAGATACCCTTGATCCTTTCTTGTTGATCCAGCTTGCGAGCCTTATACCTAAACATGTTAATATCTCTGTATGAGTTTCTTTATCCATTTGATAAAAAAATTATTAGTTTTGTTTGCATTCCTTAAAGCGTTTTACTCATTTATTTATTTATTATTCTTTTCTTACCACTAGAATAAGGAATGGATAATTTAATGGTTCTCTCTTTCTATCTTTGTGCAGGAGTAGCCACTGCTTTCGCAGCTAGAGACATTCTTGGCAATATGTTCAGTGGTTTATCTATGCAGTTTTCAAAGCCCTTTTCAATTGGAGATACAATAAAAGTATGCTGATTTAGTAGGTGCAAATTAATGATTGGTCCTGTTTTACTTTTTATGGGAAAAGTTATTTTCTAAACCATGGTCTCGCTATCTGTTTTGCACTTGAATGTCCTATTTGCAGTTATGTTTTTTAAGGTGAGGAATGACAATTATTCTTTTATACTTGCAAATTAGGTAATAATAATGTTACAGTAATTGCTGGTGCTTTGTTGCAATTATCCAATATGTATTATGTAATATGTAGTGCCTATATAGATGTTCTGTGTACATCCAGAGGAAGAATTAGGGTTAAAAGATTGGAAGGGCCAAAATAAAATAAAATTAGGTGAGGTTTTTACAATAAATTAAATAAAAATTGGAGGGTCCTAACATCTATATTATGAGATTATTAGTGAAATGCAAATAAAATGTTACAAAATTTGGAAATTATGAAGGGTTCCATCATCAAGCTTTAATGTAGGTCTACCCTTGTTTACATTCTATATTTCTTAAATGTGTCTGAGAAATTATACGAATTACAGGCTGGCTCAATAGAGGGTCAAGTGGTGGAGATGGGTCTTATTACCACTTTATTGCGGACTTCTGAGAAGTTTCCAGTCATTGTGCCACACTCTTTTTTTACTAGCCAGGTGGGCCTTCCTTTCCCCCTCTTTTGCTAGTGTTTCTGAATAGGCTTACTTCCCCTGCAATCATGACAGCAATGCAGAGAACTGACTCCCAAAATTTAAAATTAGCGGAACATACTTTATTGTTTCTTTCTATCTCTAACTGCATCTATGCAGTGACTTTAAGAGAGCCAAATCTGTTCTGAATGCTTAAACATTGCAAATCAATCTTGTTGATCTTTGGCTCAAATATATCATACAAAGATATACAACTTTTTGGGAAATGCTCACTACATATCTGTTGCTCATATTTGAATCTTGTATTTCAACCAAGAGTATTCTCTTTTCTCCAATGACTCATCAAGTTATAGTTCTGTTTGATTTTCCAAGCAATAATTTGTGCAGGCTTCTTGTTGCTTAAATTTAGGTATAATTCTGTCATTCATCATCATATTAGGCAGATTGCAGTGATCTTTTATCTCCTTCGCGTTTTTTAAGTCATGATCCTTCCCAGGATTCTGAACATAGTGGTAGCTTTATAACACCAGGTTGCCAATTAATTAAATTTGTCAGCGAGGAAGAAGATAAATATGAATACATCAGGGAAGAAACGTGTGCTGGCATGTGCTTGTTTTTTCAGAACATATATATTTGTTACTTATCATGAAGAGGGGAAAATGTTGGAAACAGATAAAAAAATTTTAATTTCATTATTCTTTTGCTCAAATGGTGGAGCAGTGGTAAAACTACTCCTTTGTGATCTTACGGTCATGACTCACATGTCTAAATCTAGGGAACGACTTTATAAAAATGCAAGGGTAAGCTCGTATACAAGGATTTCCCTCACTCACACTCTTGCAAGTTGGGATTTCATGGGAAGTGGTTTTTTTATTCACTTGCTCAAATAATTTGGTAATGCATTGTGCTCTTTCGTGGTTAGATTCTGTTGGATGTTGTCCTTTGATTTGTCTAACCATTCATTTCATCAGTTTATAAAATGAGGCTAAGATGGCTGATTAACTTTCTTGATTGCTCCTATATTTTAAATTTTTATTTCTGCTAGGAAACTTCTGCTCTAGAGGATATGTAAATTTTGAAGCTCGCACCTCAATCTACACTTCTGCATGCACACAAACAGATGAAAAATCTATTGCCTTTATCTCTATTAGAATGTTTCTTTCTTAAGCTTTTGATCTTGGGATTATGATCTACTTGCTGCTTCGGTTATCATAGTTACAGTCCTCTTTCCTGTTTGTAGGTTATAGTGATCGAGTCCCGTGCCAAATATCGAGCCATTATTACTATAATTCGTCTGCTAATTGTGGATTTAAGTAAGATTCCCCGTATATCGGATGATTTAAAAAGCATGCTAAGATCAAATGCAAAAGTTTTCTTAGGAAAAGACATTCCCTACCGTGTCTTGTCGCGTAGAGAAAGTTCATATGCAGAATTGACTGTTCGATACAACCTCAAACACATGGTCCCTCACTCATCTGAATATGTAATTCCTTTTTGTTAGTGCAATGCATTTTGAAGATGACTTTAATTATGAGAAATTGACATACTAGCATAATGAAACACCAACACATTGCCTACGGTGTGTGCTAGCGAGGAAATACAATATGGAGATGTTATAATTATCTTGAAGTTACCTTTGCTTCATTTTGTATTGCACTTATTTTGTTTGGATTTTTAGCTAGTTCTACATTTCTTTTGACTGATCAAGGGACTATGCAAAAGATACTGTGCCTAAATTGCAATCACCAATAGTTAGATAATAGATTAAATATCTAATAGAAAAATAGCATCATGCAGTAGAAATAATGGCATGGCCAACTGCCCAAGGAGTCTTGCATCATTTGATTTTCTGATAGGTTGCAAAATGAAAATAAGGGGATCTCTGAGCTCAAAAATTTAGTTTTGAAATTGAATAGCTGATGTTTTATTCACTTGATCTAAGATGAAGTGTATGCAAATTAGTTCTGATTCCTACTGGATTAGTGATTATAAATTTGTCCTGAATGCTTGAGGGGGCATTTGTTTCAAGGTGTCTAAATATATTCCTTGGAATCACATTCCTAGGGATACTATGATCTGGAATGTTATTCTTGGGTATTTAGAAAAATCTATTTGGTTAGCATTTAAAATTCCTTGGAATCTTTTTTTGAATTCATGGGAACAACTTAAAAATGTTTGTTTGGTTTACATTTGCATATTTCTAGGAACATGTGATAATCCTAAAAAAAATGTATTTATTTTAAATGTAATTGATAAAAAAAAAACAAAAAAAAAATGTAATTGATAAATAAATGTATGCCCCTAATATATAAATAATTATTTAAATTTGATTCTTTTAAATGTAATTGATAAAAAAAATGAAGAAAAAAAAGCTGGATGATTATAATCATACTTAAAAACAAGTATTTATATATACCAATTATGATATTTAAATGGAAAAAATATTTGTCCTTTTAAATTACACAATTTATATCATTTCACTCTCACAAAGAGGTGAGACTTATACCTTTTTTTTGTCAACTCTCTCTCTATCTATTTCTTTCTCTTACTTAAAATGACACAACTTTATATCTTTAAAATGACACACATCTTTTCCTATTTAAATACAAGCAAAATGTCTGCGCTTGGCTGCCCATTTCAAGAAATTTAGTCATTATTTCGGACTTATTGCGGTTGAGGCTGTTGAAATATATGCTTATCTCGTATTTCGTGTTTATAATTAGAAATTTTTGATGTTCTTTTTAAAATGATTCAGTGTTCTGCTTTCTATCTTTCTTTCTTTGTTATCTAGTGCTGTCTTAGGCAATATTTTGTTATTGGCTTAATTTTTTTTTTTCTCCGCGTGATGACGAATTCGGAAGACGTGGACTGGACCCTGATTGAATACTGTTTCTAAAATTAATTTTTTGGTTTTTAGAATAAAAAATTATAAAAATCCGATTGATAATGCCTGTTTTGTAAAACTAATAGTGTTTGGAGATATTCAGTTAATTCTTGATTGTGAGTTTGTGGTTGGTGATCTCCCACTTTAGTGATGGTTTTTTAAATTTCATTTGTTGAAATGCTATTTTAGAAATAAATAATATTTAATCGCATGATCAGCTCAACTTACCAGTGTAATCATTAACGAGGACATAGTAATCTGCGAGTTTTGCTTAGTGGATGTACGAATTAGTTCCAACAATACTCGAATATGATCATTGAACGGAAGTTCATTTTATGTTTAGAAGCACGCATGAATACTCAAAAATTATTATAGGTAAAGAGTCTCATTCTCATGAATACATACATAATGAAGTCATTCTATAAAAGTCACAACACTTTTAATGCATGAATAAACCATGATTTCTTTGAATCATGGTGGACTCAATTAGGGCTAAGCCTCCAAAAGTCCATTTATGCCATTTTCCCGATTCAAGTTTCCCGATGAAAGTTTCCACACTAGCTACGAAGAGAATATCTCCAATTACCTATGGTAATGAAAAATAACATTCAGCAAGACATGAATTTGATAATTACTCATCACTGTCTTAGGTATTCCAAGAAACTAGAGTTATTAATTAAGCCACAATTAATGATCTGTTCAAAATTTGAAAAACACCTATACGTGGACATACTCATCTTTCAAGTAACATTGGATAACAGCTCATTTTTAATAAAAAAAAGAAAGAAAAAGAAACTATGGATACCTCGTTTTTGGTAAACCGTTTTGTTTTCTTTCTTCTTCTTTCTTCATTTTTTTGTTTTCTGTCTTTCACTTCTGTTTCCTTCATTCTGTTTGCAGCTTGACCACGGCAGTTTCCTTCGTACTGTTTGGAGCTTGACGACGGCAATGGCATGCGCCTGTGTTATTTGATGTCTCCTTCTTCTGTTTGGAGAGATCAATGGTGGATGATGAAAGTGGAGAAAATGAGGCTGAGATTGCCTAAGATGGACCCTTGCACACCATGGAAACCTTGGAAGAGGTTTTTTCGGTTGGTACACAGATTTTAATTTTATAAAATAACAAAAAATTTACATTTTTACCCTTTGACAGTGTCGGACACGGTCAAAATTGCGTGTCCAAAAAGTCAATGTGTCCCAAATAATTGACCACGTGTCGGACGCGGGTCCAAACGTGTCGGAACGTGTCCGACACGCATCTTTTCTAAAAAAAGACGTATCCGTGTATCAGAGTATATATATATATATATATATATATATATATATATATATATATATCATTTTTTTTACAGTTAATGTAGATAACTTATCTACATTGAGCCTAAAACAACGTCGCTTTGAGGCAAAAATCAAGGTATTTTTATAATTATAATTTATTTCATAGTTATAATAGTCTTTTTCATTATACTTTTTTAACCCAAAATGACGTCGTTTTGAGAGCGAATGTAGATAACTTATCTACATTCACTTTAGAAATATTAAAGCCATATATATATATATATAATTAAATTTTAGGGTTTTATGACTTTAGTATATTTTTACTTTTGCTCAAAAAATTTAATATTTATGTTTTCGCCCAAAATTATGGCTTTAGAACTTTAGTATTTATATTTTCGCCAGTTAATGTGTTGTGAATCATTGACGGTGAAAGAAAAAAGAGAAAGAGATAAAAATAAGTTGTGATGATGAGAATTATATGTAATAAAGTTGTATGTGTAATAGCTTAAAAAAAAATTGTATGTGTAATATTGTCAATGAAGAATGTTGATATAATTTCCCGGACGTCACTAATCTAAAGAATTTCAACTTGCTAATCTTCACAAATAATGCTGCTTATCTTAATTATTCTCCAAGGCAACAAAGTTGAAGCCATGAACCATGCCTGCGTTGCTAATTTTCTTATCCTATCTAGCAATTTTAATTAGAACCGCGAATCAATTCGGTCGGAATATTAAATTAATGAGTTATGGGTTAAATTATGAATCACTCATTCAATCACTTGAAATAAATTTATATAAAATATTAAGAATAAACCTGTTGATTGGACACCAATTTGGATTTCAAGAAATTTTCAATTTTCAACATCGCCAACAATATGAGAAATAAATGTTCTCATATTAAAATTTCATATAAGAGGATCATAAGAAATTTTGATGTCTATCCACTTCCGATAATAAAATAGCAAGATTGATGCGACTCTCAATTAATTGAACGTGACAGACAATAAACAAATTGGGTATTACAATTATTGATCACTTGAATATTCAGACAAATAGGTTTGATGGAACCATTTGTAATTAATAAAAGGATAGGGATGTTAGTCAAAGTCAAGATGAGAATTAAATTAGATTTAGTAGATACTAGATATCCAACCTAGATAAAAAAAAAAGTTTAATTTTGTGAAAATATTCACTTTAGACTTTGAATACATATGAACCTCTGGAGTATAATATTCATCTCTGTTTGAGTTTTGGATACCATTGTAAATTATTGCTTTCAGCGTGGATTAAAATGTTATATTTATTTTTTATTACTGCAAAAAAAAATTTGTTTGCCTCTGTTACCAATGATTTTATATCATGTTTGGATTAAACACTTTTTTATGTCAAATTAACTTTTCATAAAAACACTTTCTGTGAGAGCTTTTTTGAAAAATTGATTATTTTTCAAATATAATTTGTTCCCAAACATCCATTTACTTCTTTGATTTGTACTTAACATAATTAAGAAAATGGATATAAAAATGGTTTTGGATGAATATTTGGCTAAACCTGTCATGTTTACATTCCTATATGAGATCACAAATTGGCTGAATTAATGTATATTTCTTAAATTATGGGATATTTATTAGGAGTAATTTCACCCACACACAAGATAACATTTTTTTATACAATGACATTTTGTATACATATGTGAGAAAATTTATAAAATCTGAATGATTGTTTATTGAAATTACACGAGTCAAACATAACAAGGAACATACCATTCAGCTTGGAATATGCTCGGTTTTGCAAGCATGGCTCATTCTTAAAAATAACCAGTTTAACAACATTTCTGATTCTTTTTTTTTTTTTTGTAGGTTAACATTTCTGATTCTGACAAAAGAGTAGGCATATATTGCCAAGATTTTTTTATTTTAATTTTTCCTAATATGCCAAATTAAGTGGTAGCTGCACGCCAGCACCAATAGTTTGAGAATATTCTTCTAGAGCTAGAAAAGTCACCTTTTCCTAGAAAGACATGGGAAGACTTTTAACCCCTGGGTTCGCTTTTTGTCATGTGACATGACTAGATCACTTTTCTGCACACACAAATCAAGTGTGGGTCCCACGCTTAAAAAAAAAAAGTCAAACCAAATCAGGATACGACGCCGTATCCTTAAGATACGGAAGCGGATTCTTGTTGCAGGAATGAACAGTGTCATTCCTGCAACATGATTCTTATATTTCCCATATATAAATCATGATCACTGGTGCAACCTTTTTTCACACAAGCATTAGAGCCAAACAATGAAAGTTGAAGTAGAAATCATTTCTAGAGAGGACATTAAGCCTTCTTCTCCCACACCCTCTCACTTAAGAGTCTTCAAACTTTCCCTTTTGGATCAGCTTGTTCCATCTCCATATGCTCCAACAATCCTATTCTATCACAGTGCAACAACTAGCCTTTCTGAAGTTCCAAAGAGGTTACAATTGTTGAAGCAATCTTTATCTGAGACACTAACCAAGTTCTATCCACTTGGTGGCAAGATCAAAGATGACTTATCCATTGAGTGCAATGATGAAGGGGCTAATTTTGTAGAAGCCAAAGTGAAGTGTCCTATTTCTGAATTTCTAGACCAGCCTCAAGTAACCTTATTGCAAAAGTTTCTTCCATGTGAACAAGTTCTTCAAGAATCAAATTCAGGAACCTATGTGACTAACATTCAAGTGAACATCTTTGAATGTGGAGGAATTGCTATTGGCTTATGCATTTCTCACAAGATCGTAGATGGGGCTGCACTAAGCACCTTCCTTAAGGAGTGGACATGCAGGGCTAGGGGTTGCAACCAATTCACCAACCCCAAATTCATAGCATCTTCACTCTTCCCCACAAACAGTTTATGGCTTAGAGACTTGACATTGGACATGTGGGGTTCCTTGTTCAAGCAAGGAAAATGGGTCACTAAGAGGTTTTTGTTCAGAAACTCAGATATAGCCAAAGTCAAAGATCAAATATCAAGCACAGCAAACACTTCCTGTGTTGTGGTGCAAGACCCTACACGTTTGGAGATAGTTTCTGCAATGTTGTGGAAGTCTCTTATGGATGTGTCCAAGGCACAGTTTGGTACCCAAAGGCCTTCTATGTTGACTCATATGGTGAACCTGCGCAGAAGAATTGATGAAGCACTGTGTCCAGAGCATGCTATGGGAAACCTACTTTGGTTAGTAACTGCAGAACACATGAGTGATCATGAGATGGGGTTGGATGAGTTGGTGTGTAAGTTGAGAAATGGAATATCAAAAGTTGATAATGAATTTGTTGAAGAATTGAGAGGTGATAAGGGAAGGTCAATTATGCATGAGACTCTCAAAGCTATAGGTGAGGCAGGACCAAAAAATGAAGTTGAATATCATGGGTTTAGCAGCTGGTGCAATTTTGGGTTCTATGATGCTGATTTTGGGTGGGGAAAGCCCACATGGATGAGTTGTACTGTTGGTTCAAATGGTTCATTGTTTTTTAATCTTATTATCTTGGTTGACACAAGGTTGCAAGATGGCATTGAAGCTTGGGTTACCTTGGATGACCAGGACATGACTCTTTTGCAAGCAAACCCTGAACTCCTCACTTATGCAACCATTGATCCGAGTCCTCTCTCAATGTCAGTTGCCTGATTATTATTATTCGAATTAATGAAATTAGTAATTGCTTTCAAGTTAATGATTTGTTTTCATGAAAATAAATACAAAGTATTCAAAGTAAAAAAAACAAGTTAATCCTTAAGTTTAGAATATTAAATCTGCTTAGGTTAAGGAAAACAAGTTGCTTATCATTTAACTCAATGATTATTGGTCGTTACCTATAACTTCTTAATTTGCATATTATACGAGTTACACTGCTTACCGTGTTTACATTTTTTTTTCCAACATAAATAGAGGTAAATCGAAACTTACTTTGAAAAAGATAGTAAAATAAGACTAAATGAAGTGGAATATAAATTGATGGACAATGTGCCTTACGACAGAATGGAGAAAAATTATTAGCATTGTGAATGGTTAGATTTGTTATTCCTATGTTTGATATGGTACCTTTTTAATCTTTTTCTCTTTATCTCCCCCCTCTTCTTCTTTTCCCCTTCTTTTCTTTTATCTCTTTTCCCCTTCCCAGTCTTCTTCTTCTTCTTCTTCTTTTATTTTTTATTACTTTTATCTTATTTTATTTATTTTACACCCCTTTTATTTTTACTTTTATATTTACATATATATATTTTTCTTATTTTTTTTATTCCTTCGTACCTTTCATTTGAGTTTATCTACTCAATTAATTTGAGATAAAGATATTGTTGATGTTGCTTGTTCAAGTGAGTTAACCTATTTCATTCGCATTTAAATGAATTATGATTTAAAACATCAGAAGTGAATTAATGGTAAAATGGTTTGTGAGTGAAATGTTGTGACCATAGAACGCGACAAACATCCCTCCCACCAAACATTTTGGCTAAAAAAGTAAACATGTTCTGAGGATAATGTAATTTAGAGTTCAAGTACTCATCTTTGTCTACACTGGCCGCCAAGAAATTCACAAAGTAACTCATTTTATGAAGGAGGACAAAATACATATAACAAAAGATTAAGAATTATCAACATGCTTATAGGAGCTGTTATGTTACCCATTCCCCAAACTACAATTCAACAACTTCGTCTTCCTTGCATTCCCCCACATCAATCACCAGAGTTCCTTTCTTCTTTGTACGTTGAACCCTGCAACAATTTCTTCTTGGAGACTGCAAAAAAAATCCAAAACCAAATCCATTTTTTAAACAACTGTGACCTTCATTTAGCTAAAAACTCAAATAATAATAATAATAAAAAAGAAGAATATGAATATGGATCATCTCATGTGCTATTTAACATGACTATATTGTGGGAGACAATCTCAATCATTTATGGACAAACCAGCGATGATGATAACTGATATGAGAGAAAAAAAAAACATTAAAATAAGAAGGAAAAAATGTTTGTCCTTTTAAATGATACAACTTACATCCTTTCACTCTCACAACAAAAGTGAGACCCACACCTTTATTTTTTTTTCATTCTCTCTCCTCCTTTATCTATCTCTTTCTCTCACTTAAAATGACACAACTTTACATTCTTTAAAATGACACACACTTTACCCAAATAAGAAATGGAAAAAAAATAACCATTGCTTTGACTGTAAATAATTCAGATTGTCTCACATAAAGTTCATATTAAATACTACAAAAGAAGATCTATTTCTAGAAAAAAAAAAATACACAAAAAAATAACACTGCTTTTTAAATAAAAGAAAAAAAAATATCCAATGTTACTTTAGACAATTTTATTTAATATTTATCAAAATGACGTTATTTTGGGATTGAAAAATTATAAAATTAAAATGATAAAGACTATTATAACACTAAAATAAATTAAAATTATAAATATACCATGATTTTCGCCCCAAAATAACATTGTTTCAGTGAACATTAAACAAAGTTGTATAAAATAACTTTAGAAAAAACAAACACTTAAAAAAATTCTCTCAAGTTAAAATTCACGAAACATTATGGTGTGAAAATTTTGTATCTACTTTTCTTTTTATAGGCATCAAATAGATGAAATCTATTAAAATGTTTAAATATAAAAAGATAGATACAAAATTTTCACGTGACAAAATAAAATTTTAAGTTGAGAGAACTTTTTTTACATAAAATTTTAACACGAAAGAACATAATTCCAAATATATATTTAGACCTTTGAATAAGAAAAGTTAGAAGTTACCTTGTCCCACAAATGCGGGTCGGGTTTCTTATAAACCTCTACTACTTTGATTTGGGTCGGATCCGCCATTTTCCACTTGCAATCTGGGTTCGGGTTAACCCGAACATACTCACTTGCAGTCTCATTAGTACCCTTGTTATAAATTGCATTAGACAAGTAATAAACAAATGGTTTCTGACAAATATGTCTACTGACAGGGCGCGTGTTGAAAGGATAGGCAGTGTAATCAGCTCTCTTGTACCAGTTTAAGAAGGTCCTTGCTGGCATTTCCATCTCCCGGGCCGAGAAAATGCCCCGGAATATTTGAACCGCATAGCCCCAAGAAACGGATACGGTCCAAGTCCGGGTCTTGTCATAACAAATGGATTGTTGCATGAGCGCGGCTGGGTCCAATTTCATGGGCCCTTTGAGCCGCTTTATGGCCTGGACCCGGCTCACGTTAGGAAATATGGGCTCCACCACGTCCAAGTGATGGAGGGATACAAGCGGTGTCACCGGATGGGCCGCTAGGAGCCCAAAGAGATTGCCGTACACATCAAACTATTCAAGACACAAATATAACAAAACCAATGTCAGATTTGGATGTGGTTTAAGAATTCAAGACACAAATTTAAGAAGGGAAATACTACTCTCATTTTACATGAGGTAGTTATCTCATTTTCTCTCACATCGAAAATCGCACCCCTTCTTTTTTCTTTTTCTTTTTTACTTTTTAATGGTGGACCCCACTTAAACTCTCTCTATAGCATGAGATAATACTCTCATGTAACATAAGATTAATATTCCCCATTTAAGAATTCTTTTCATGTACTAATAACTGATAACCCACTAATTAACCCAATAGTCCCCTAATCAATACCTGATCGATTCTCATAACATTGTTTTAAAGGTATGTTTGGTAGAAGTTTTATTTTGGATTTGATGAATAAGTGTGGATGGGTATTGGAAAATACTACATTTGGTTAAGTTTTTGAAAAAAAAAAAAATACTAGACAAATAGGATGGTTGGAAACCGACTTTGGTGTTGATTTTTGAGTGAAATTCACGGTTACAAAATACCACTCGAGATGTGATATTTTGAGATAACTGAAAAAATAAAAAAACAGGTGCAAAGTTCTTCCCAAACATAGATTTTACAAATTTAAATAAATTTTTTCGATAATATTTCAGTCAATCAAACATTTTTTTTAAACTTTTTCATCAAACTAACTTTTTTACCATTTTTTCAATAATTATATTTTTCTGATAAAAAAAAATTTCTCTATCAAACGCTCCCTAAATATTTAAATGTGATATTTGGATGCTTTACTAATTTTATCTTAAAGTATACCACTATGTAACAAGTGTGTCACACCTAGATCAAAGAGTCTAACAATAACCTATACAGGGAAAGAAGGAACTGGGGAAGGGTCTTATCTTTGCCGACAGTGGAAAAGTATTTACCAATCATGGAGCTGATTGTGGCTCAGGTTTTCGTGGTGGGAATGCAACGTGCTTTTCAATGTGTGACAAGTGTCATTTTATTAAATCTATGTCTCCTAACTTAGGATTTGAATGGGGACAATTCAACTATTCCTCACTCACAGACACAGCACAGCAGAATTAACATAGAACGACCACGTGGATGCTGTGCAGATTAAATATTCATATTCCCCACAATATGAGCATTCTTTAATTTTTTGTTGAAAAAAATGTGTATCATTTCAAAAGATGTAAAATTGTGTCATTTTGAGTAAGATAAAGAGATAGATAAAGGAGAGAAGAGTAGACAAAAAAATATAAAGTTGTGGATCTCATCTTTTTGTGAGAGTGAAATAATACAAGTTATATCATTGAAAACGAGAAACATTTTTTTTTTGTTAAATACAAAATGTTGTAAATGAGAGAAAGACTCAGCCAAAATTGAAACCAGCAGAAAGAAAAGAAAAGTTGGAATTGACCTTTTTGACTAAAGTGGAGATAGTGCTGAAACCGTGGTTGAGGAAGGGTTCTTAGCTGTTTAATGGTTCTAGTTTGAAAAACCAAGTCAATTATGGGAGACCAAATGATTTCGAAGATTTACCATAGTGTGAAATATAATAGATCTTTGGTTTTCAAAAAAAAAAAATATAATAGATCTTTACCTAATTAAAGAACAAATTGACGATTTAATTAAATTTGATCCACTTTCACTGTCAGTTTGGGTTGAAAAATTAAATAGTGACAGAAAGCATCTTATTTTTGGTGGGAAATTACGGGTCAATACTCCATAATGGTTAAGCAATGGTGGAAGCTTTTAATACATATTGAAAGTTTTACAGAAAATTATATAATTAATAATGTGTACATATTTCTTTTAATATAAACTTATTATATGAAATTCTCGTAATAAAAGATATATTCCCATAATGGTTAAGGTTATCTTCTATTGGGACGTTTGGTATAGGAGAAATTTTTTTTGTCTGGAAATTTTGATTTTCAAAAATATAATTTTTACATTCAATTTATAATAATATCTGAAAATTAAAAATTTTAAAAAATTTAATTTCTCAAAAATTCAGAAAAATGCCGCATACCAAACACGTCCTTAAAGCGTCCTTTGGCCTTTCCCAATTGAAATGCTAAAAATATGCGGAATAATCATCCCTATAAGCACAAATAAGTATAGCTATTACTCTAGGTTTTCAAAATTAGGCCCTTTATGTCAAAGTGATCTTAAATTAGTTAGGTTACCAATAAATGTGATTTTTGTCAACTATTACTTTCTTGAAAATTTACATTATCACCCCTGTAAAATAACATCCCTAAACACAAATAACTAGTTTCAATTGAAAAAAAGACATGGACAAGATGATGCAACAAGTGGTAATTTAAAAAGAACTTAATTTCTCATACATTATTAGTATAAACAAAAAATTATACTATCAACCAATAACATGTTACTATTAATGAGTTTGACATCTCTTATATATCAATAAAGTTATTAATAAGATAACACATCATTATTAATAGTATAAAGTTATTTTACTATGTCAAAAATAAACTCAAGTTTTTTTTTTTAATTTTAGTTTATAACCCAGAAATCTCCACCTTCACTTAAATTTATTTATTCATTTTTTTCAGCCACTTCCAATAATTAAATTTACCCATTACAATCATAGTATGACTATAAGTCAATCTGTAAAGTCACACACTCAAAAGTAAATTTCTCTGTCTTTGCATTTCTATCTATTTTCACCATTTCCCCTTCTTTCCCCCATTTTCCTATGTTTTCCAAGGAACCAAACAGAAACAGTATCACAAAACCAGACAAAAGAGATAGACAAAGAAAAATTCCAGAGACAACAAAGCACACTAACCTGATGAAACCCTTTCTCCTTGGTGAGTGGAACCCCAAGTTCTGCCATACAAGCCTGCACCCTATCATCAGAGCCATACAATCCAGGGTACCTCTGAATGCATCTATCTTGGATTTTCTCCAATGCCACAGCCAAAGGATAACTAATAGCAAAACCACCACCTCCATAAGCCATATTGTAAGAAAAATAAATGTTTTGCAAGTGGCTCTCTGAAGAACTCCCAATGTAATAGAACTGATTGTGATCATATTTTTGCAAAACTTTCACCAAATTTTCAGTGACAAAGACTGTGTCATCATCACCCATCACAAACCACCTCACACCCTCCATTCCAAGCCTCAGTGTTTCTGAAACTATGCGTGAGATCCTTATAGCAGACCTATGACCCTTTGGGTTATTGTACTTGAACTTTGAAGTGTCTTCAGAGATCCTCAAAGGGGGCAAGAGATTCTCATCACCAGGCTCAGTTTTCACCTTCTGTTCTAGCCACACAATGCCACGCATTTCATTGGGTCTCCACCAAAGCTTGATGTACTCTTTTCTCTTCTTCCATAGCTTTGCTGAAGCTCCTATCCCAAATACTATGTGGGTAATTTTGGTTTCTTCAAAGGGCTTTTTTGGGGACTCTTGTGAAGATGGGAAAGTGGTGGTGTCAGATAGATGATTATGATGATGATGGGTGATGGGAATGTTGGGGGTTTTATCACAATCATAAGAGTGGCTAACGAATCTAAGGGAATAGAAGAGGTAGGAGATGGAGATTAAGAAGAAGAAGAAAGCCATTAGCTTTGAAAAGTTCCATGAAGAGTATATATGTTCTGGATCTTTGAGATTGTTCTTCATGGCAGGTTTCAAATATTTGGCTTTTGTCTTCAGATCAAAAAGACTAGTCATGGAAAAAGAATGAGAACCCAAAAGTCTGTTCATCATAACTTGCCCTATCAGAATTTATTAGAACCCCCCACAAGAGAGAAGATGAAGAGAGAGAGAAGAGAGGATTTGGTAAAGTTTTATGCTTTCATAGCCCCACAGAAAAAGGAACATGACATGATATAAGACACTCTTTGAACTTAACAAGAAATCTTACTAAAGTTTTTGCCACGACAATATATGCGAGTGCTAAACTGTAATATCTCATAATAATAATAATAATAAACTATAAATTACTATTTTTTTTATATATATATATATATATATATATATATATATATATATATTTTATAGTGATAAATAACAAATTATAATATTAATTTTACTTTTCACAAAAAGATTTTGTGCGATATATGTTTATTGGAAATTGATTTTGATATTTTATAATACTCCAGATTATTAATAATAAAATAATATTAATATATATATATATATATATATATATATATATATCTATATATATTGGGGGTTTTGTTTTTCTTATGTTGCATGAGACAAGTTGTCTCATGCAACACACACAAAGTGAATGGGACACACATTTTTATTTTCTCTCACTTCTTTTTTAGTGGGTCCCATTCACTTTTTGTGTGTTGCATGAGACAACTTGTCTCATGCAACATAAGAAAAATAAAACCCATATATTAGATGATAAACTATGATTAATTGAATTATTAATTGTTTGGGCATTTATGCATTAATTGGTAATGTTTGATTTGATTAGATTAGGATGAGTCAACAAACTTAATTTTATTAGATATGATGAATCAATATTGAGTCAATAATGAGTTAGCGATATGATATTTTGAGCCATAAGAAATTAAGAATAAAAAAGAAAATAGTGCATGAAGTCAATGTCTAAGCCAGATACATTAATGAAGAACAAGGAAATAATTGCACGAAATCCATATCGAGTCCAAAACTTCAACTATAAATAGAGGTCTAGTCTAATCAAACTAATTCATTTTTCAACATTTCCCCTCTACTCTCTCTCTCCTTATTTCAAATTTTTTATTTATTTATTTTATTTTATCTTCCTTTGATTATCAACATTTCCCCTCTACTCTCTCTCTTTATTTCCTTATTGTATGTGATTGTAATAAATTAATAGTAGGAGGATAGCTTTGTGATGGTACTCTTAAAGTGATGAACACAACCTTTGAACTTTATGCCTCCGATATATTTATACGATGTAAACAGATATTATTCGTTCTTCTCAAAGTGGTATCTGGCAGGATATCCGAATATTAGTAGCAACTTTAGGAAGAGGTGTGCACACTAGGAAGAGATGTTTTTGATAATGGCCAAATTGTTCATATGTGACTGGCAGGATATCCGGGTCACAAGGTAGACTGACAGGATCTCCAGGTCTACCATTGTTCTCTTCTTACTAAATGAATTTAATAAAGATAATAATTGATTTAATTATGTATATATATATATATATATGATTAATATTGAAATTGATGTTTGATTCAATTGTTATGTGATTATAATTTTTATTTGATTACTATATTTGAGTTATATAATTGAGTTTTGATTATAATTGCCAGTTTTGCTGACTTTTGTGTTTGTTTGACTGCAATGATCTTTCGGGAAGCAGATTTTCAGTAAATCAGGTTGCAAGGAATCAATGAGGATAACGACTCAAAATTTATAGCTAGTCATAAATATTATGTTATAAAAATGTAGACTTAGATTTTATTTGAATGTATTAGAGTTAGTCTTGCACTCGTCTCTGTATAGGTGTAGCGGTAACATTTTTCCAAATTAATTTTAGGTTTGCTTCCGCAATAGATATAAGATCTTAATAAATAATTAAGTGTTATTTTTTTTAAAAAATTTCTCTATTATAGAAATATTTTATTGTTGTTAAAATTGTTAGAAATTTAGGGGTGCTACATAAATTATGAATGATGCATATTTGATTTGGGTTTAATGCTTCTCTTATAAGAGAAAATTTTATTTTTTACACACAAATATATAGAATGATGTGAAGAAATATGAGGAAAAAAAGAAATAAAAAATATAAATTTGACACATTTAAATGTAGGGTTCGCTTTTTCTACAGTCAATGTAGATAACTTATCTACAGTGAACCTTAAACGACGTTGTTTTGAGGCGAAAATCAAGATATTTTTGTAATTATAATTTATTTCAGGGTTATAATAATCTTTTTCATTATATTTTTTAATTTTTCAACCTAAAATGACGTCGTCTTAGGAGCGAATGTAGATAACTTATCTACATTCACTTTAGAAATATTAAAGCTTTAAATGTAATACTTCAAGTACTTTCATATTTTCTCTCAAAAAACCATAATCTCTAACAATTTTAAAGTATTAGAGTTTGAAATATTTAATAATATTACTTATAATTTAAAAAACCCTAAAAATAATATAAGTTATTGGACTTTAATTTATATGAATCAAAATAACTATATTATCATTTATTGACTTGTATGTAAATATATTATTTAATTATATTATTATTAATTTTTTTTGTGAGGAATTATATTATTAATATATTTAACATTTAATTTATCTCGCATAATATAAAAAATATTGAATTCATTTGATTTAAACCAAAACACAATGAAATATATTTTATATTTACTTACAAAAATTGACATCATTTTTTGAGTTTATTTATTTTCACTTCCCTCTTTTGCCGTTCATTGTGAAATTGCGGTGGACATGTGTCCGGTTAAAAAATCACCAACACTTTACAACTATAAGGTTAGAAACGAAGAAGAACAAAGGAAACAGGCATTTCTTGTTTTTCTCCATTCCATTTATAACCTTAATAACGAGAAAATCGACTTCTCCCACAAGATAAGCACATAAAGTTAATATATACGCCCACGGAACTTTTCCGAAAGACTTCAAAACATGGAAAATGATTTCACAACTGTTTGCTGCATAGACTTGAGATTCAATTATCCGAAAAAAGAAAATATAGCTGTAATTTTTTTAAGAAGTTATTGAATTTAAATTATGTTATTTTCAAATATTTTGTGCATTCATTTACCATGTGATGTATGTGTAACTATCACATGATGAGTTCTTAATTCTTATGAATTGTACAAATACGTGGCAAGTAGTTGTGCACTGGTGCGTGTGTAACTAATTGAATTTTACCATGTTCCATCATCATAGCCATATGTGACACTCATCAACTGATTGCAAATTTAAATTCATTTTTAAAGGAAAAAAAAGATTATAACCTTTTAAAGAATTAGAACATTAGAAGAACAAGAGAGATTTCGAAGATTATGATCATTAAAGTAGAGAACTGCATGAGCGGCCACCATAGTCTCACGCGGCAAAATTAAGTTAATTGTGCACAAATTTGGTGCACAATTCATGGGAGCTTGATAACTGACAGTTGTCAGTTGTGCACTAAATATGTATGCTCCTAATTGAATTTCTTTCATATTTTTTTACGTTAAAATTTCCTTTTTCTCCCTCAAATTTCAAGTGCTATTAGTCTTGAAACATGTTATTCGTAACTTCGTTTTAGATTAATTATGTATATCATATATATAATTTAAAAGTTTTTTCTTATATTTATATTTTTAAAATTGTATCTAAATTAATTATAAATATATTTCTTATAGTTTTGAACATATTTTCAATCTATAATTTATAATTTCCCTAAATTTTAAATACTCATAAATGAGAACACTAGCTAGTAGGTAAAACTTCTTTATCTTTATATCGGAGGCGCAAGTGGGTTAAACACAACTAAAATCAGATAGGGATTAATCCAGATTCAGATAGAGACAGTTTAAAGTTAGAAAGCTTGTTTCATGAACCTAGCTAAGGATACAACAGCATCAAGGTGATTAATGTAAACCAACCCGTGAAGCATAAAAAGTACGTATAATCAAATTCATAAATTAGCTCACAATTTAAGGGGCTTTTTGACCCTTATGCCCCTTAATTAATAATTAATTACCAAATTGCCCTTCATTCAAAACTATTTCGAAAATTTACCCTCCCCAACAAACATAACACCAATCTGCCTCTGTTTGACCGTTGACCACGAAGCCTACCCGGGTACACCATTACCTACCCGGGTAAATTTTGAAACTTTTTATCTACCCGAGTATGTAGGGGTGTACCCGGGTAGAGTTCTTGAATCTGGGAAAATGTTTGAATTATTTACCCGGGTAAGGAGCAGTGTACCCGGGTAAACATCGACGGTAGGGTTTTAAAATACCCCAGCAGCCCCATTTCGAAAACCCACAAAAGGGGTACCCGAGTAGAGCTGCTGGAGGAGTGTCATCTTGAGCGATTTCAGGCATAATCTTGCACCAATTCGTCTTGTTTGTGATCATCATTCGCGGACCTTGCAACCTCTCTGCCTTCTACCGATTGAAATCGATCAAAGATGCATTTTTTTTTTTCAGTTTTTTCAATTATGTTATGATTTCTGTTCTGATTCATTGTATTTTCGTTTATATCATTTGATTCTGTCCGAATTATTTTATCAATTTGTATGTCATACGCTTACCCTAACCCTAACCCTAACCCTGAATCTAACCCTAACCCTAACCCTAACATGTATCTAATTTCTGATTTTGGTTATTTTTTCAGTTTAATAGTGTGACACAATGACCTCTCGACGCGTTTCAAAGCTGCCAGTGACCCATTCCGAGAGAAGAACCAAGAGTCGTCACGATGGGTCGTCATCCTCTCAGCCGCAGGCTGCTTCGAGTCAGGCTCCGGACTTGACGTTCGGATATTTGTTTGAGGATGACATACCTTCACACGAGAAGTTCGTGAAGTTTTTCATGACCCGGAAGATCTGCGAACCGAAATCACTGGATTCGGCATTCTTCAACCTAGAACGTTTTGACATTGTGCCGCTTCTTGAGCAGACACATTTACTTCACCTGGCGGAGATGCGGTGCCCATACTCGGAGGTTATGGTAAGAGCCTTCTACCAGAACCTTGGCTACTCGCAAGGCGAGCTGACTTCCCGTGTCTGCGGGATTGATATCATCATGACTGCTCCTATCTGGACGGAGCTACTGGGGTTCGATTTTGATGGTGTCACAGGAGCAGCACTATATGATGGAGACAA